TATATAGAACTCATATATATAGAACTTATATATATAGAACTTATATATATAAAACTCCAGCAATAACCAGCGCAGTTTATTGTTTTTCTAATATCAGAAAATAAATATCGAAAAACAGTAGACAACTGTAACAGTAGGAAAACAAAATAGGCTCTGCATTATGACATTATAATGATAAAATTCCATTTCTGCCCGAAAATTTGTCTATAATATAATATAATATATCAAATATATAATATAATATATCAAAACAAATCATTAGGCACATGAATTGGCGACACTTTTTTTTCTATTCATTCTATATCGTATTATTTTATTTCGATCTCTTCGATTGTGTAACCAGATGGTTTACACCTAAATGCGACAGTTAAAAAGTTTATAGCGTAGGAGTTTCGCGCTTTTGATAAATTCAAGCATGCTTGTCAAGACTTTATGACTGGCTGCGTACAAAGAGCTTCATAATTGCACAGCTTCCACTATTCATCAATGAAAATAGGTCTTTCTATTAAATCCTTCTCCACATTGAGTCTCACCGTCTTCTCGGTGTCATCTTCTCCCGTCGTACCTACCCATTTTCTCAATTCATCTGCTCGACCCATATCTTCTCAACAAACACTTCATTGACTCTTTTTCTTCTTCTACTTTTGTATCACCTCGTTTGTTCTTACCGTCTAACCATAACATCTCAAAAATCTTTACCTTTGCTCTTATCACAGCTATCGATGTTTAATATTTTTAAGCGCACAAAACTCACTTCCGCCGATCTGCACAAATCTTCAAGACATACAATCGTCTTATTCACAATATCATGATTATCTCTCCTTCATATTTTCAATCACTTCTTACCTTGCAATACTTTTCCAATCTCCTGGAAGCAATTAGTAATTTTATCAATTCTCAAAAATCGCAATCTCTCTTCACTTCGCTCTATTCCTTTAGTCTCTTCACTTCGTTCTATTCCTTCTACTCCTTCTTTCTTCTCCAAATTACTCGAGCAGATTTATTTTAAGCAATTAAATATCATTTTCAGAAAGGTTAATGCTATTTCCTGAATGATTGATAACCCAGATTTCACAATATGCATATCAAAATAAGTTGTTACATTATTTAGTGTTATATTGTATAATTTAGTAGCAACTTAAATTATTACAATCAATACTAGAAATTTAAAATGCCTATTTCGGCCGAAGTTTCACTGTTTTAAATAATTCAATCTTAAATTACTAAAATATACTAATATACACTATATGTATACTTGCATATTGTAGTCTTTTCGAACGGCGCGCCGAATTGTTTTCCGAATTGTTTTTCCGGAATTATAAACGCAATTAAAACTATTCTAATAATCGCGACATAAATTGACAAGCAATTTTAATAATTTGATGCTACCATCAAGCATCATATTATAAAGATGTTAATATGTTGAGTTAAGATGTTAATATGTTAATACGTTAATAAATTTATTATTGCAAAAAACAATAATAACTAATATTCCCTCCGGGACTTGAACCCGGATCTTTTGTATTCCGTACGTCTTAGCTTGTAGACATTTTAAATTTCTAGTATTAATTGTGTTTTTCATATATGCGGTCTAAAATAAAGATTCTTAATATTGTTTAAATTATCACACATATATAATTAGCTAGATTTATTCCCGCGATAATAAGTTATTTTTGTCACACTTTGAAATACCACGAATGCATCTATGTTCCGATTACTGCAATCACGCATCTGTAATACCTCTGACCTCTGACCGCGACATCGAGAGGCTTATGAATCAGAAGTTAATCGATACGCGAAAATAAGAATCCTTTGTGTATACGAATTTGTGTCAATTTGTGTATCACTGAGTATTTCCTTACTTGTTTGTAAATATCATTTTAAAAATGCAATGCACTAAGAATTTTTAATTTTGAAAAAATAAAAATGTAGAACTTTGTCTTTTTTAGTCTATTTAGATATGTCATCTCATGCGATACTTCAGCAAGAGAAGAAAAGTTATCGCCAAAATTACTTAAAAAGCAGCAAAAAATTGAACTGAAACAACTGGAAAATTGTGAGGATAAATCTCACAAACTACTTTGCTTTGTATGATCGATAAGATAATGATTTATGAGCGTCAGCTGTGATGCAGCGAGAAATATAAATACTATAAATTACATAGGTCTATTCACAAAGAAAATCGGTAAATGTAAAATAAAAAAGAATTTGAAACTTTGCATAAATTTAGAATAGATGGATCCTAATTACAATTCTTTTAAACTATCTATATTCGATTTTAGGGATGAAAACACTTTTGTTGCGAATCGGTTGTTCCGCGAGAACTGATCGCGTTCTTATAGAAAGAATGGGAAATAGAGGGAAGAACAGCGATAAGAGTCAGGCTTGAGAAATCACTTTCACAGTTTCCTTTTTTTTTTTTAACAATACGAAATCTGCATTACACTTCGAGACAGCGGAGAGACAGCCGAACGACTGAGATTTCGAATGCGAGCGAAAATCTTCAATTTGGTCATAAATACTGCGAATTATTGCGACCAATAAAGATGTTCCTCAGAACCAGTGTTGTCTCCAGGTACGACGAAAATCTTGACGCGAAAATAATACAGTTCGATCCGCAGCGACCAAATTATATTCGCGGATGCATGAGGCACTCACCCTCGGTGCAATGTAGACATTGGAGAATTCACTGTTGAGAGTCTACATCAAATCAAAGCTGTTGTGGTTTCACGGATCACGAAGAGAGAGACCACTTCGCATTTTTTCGTTATAGAGCAATACGCATATACATACACAAACGTTGAAAATGAAAGTCTTGCAAACGCTGTATTCGCTGAGAATAACTTACGCTCCCGGGACTCCAAGTACAAATCGATCATCATTATAGCAAGATATCTCCAAGTCGAGTCTTCCTCCTAAGGGAAGTGCGTGAAAGCATGTATTCGGTCACTCGCGCAGTCGCGCAGTCAGACAAAGGGCGAGGATTGTCCTAATTCGCAAGACCGATAGAGATAGCTAATGCGCAATATTACGATATGATCTCTCGCAATTTCGCATGCGCCACCGGTAGAACCGACGGACGTAAATGTTGAGTTCCACCTTTACACATTGAGATATTCTTGGATCGCTTTCGCGGGAAAATTGATCGACAAGATACGAACACTCCATTCAAGTTTCGACATTACACTGATTCTGTAACTTCCTTGAAAAAAAAAACGTATTTATGTCTACGCAAATATATTCGAAGTAATGAAAAATATTTTGAATAAATTAAAAAAAGATTTTGAATAGAAATGTTTTATGAATAATAAGAATCTTTATTAGATCGTACAAGTAAAAATCCATAACGGTCAAAACTGGATCTTTAATGTTTAAATAATTTAATTTGAATTTATGTATACTACATATGTACACGCATACACTATTTTCTAGTCATTTGAACTGCGCGTCGAATTAATTTTTCCAAACTTAAACACGCAACTAAATTACTGATATCACAATTAAATTTTGATGCTTAATAGATATCTGTTAAGAAGATCTTAGTATATTGAAAATCTGTAAATAAATTTATTTATTGCGAAAAATATTACTTCGGTCGGAACCTTTAATATTCCGTGCGAGTCTTAAGCCTTTAGGCCTTAGTAATATTCTTCGCAATAATCAGTATATGTATAAGAAACAACATTTATCTTTCAGACGACGTAAAACAAGTTTTATGGTTTTGCAAGCACTTTATAACGGCATTCGTAGTCATTAAGAACAATTTAATCTCGGAAAAGGGTTGAGACTCTATATTTCTAAATTCTTATTTTGAAATGAGACTTGACCTGCTATCTAAAGAAGTAAAGTATTCTCTTTGCGCTTAGACGCCAGATATTTCACACCAAATTCAACTAAACGTTACTAAGTTGTGTTCCGTAAACGTATTTTTAACAAATAAAAAAAATTAACACTCTTATAAAAATTTTATTAATTTTATTGGTTACTTGACATCTCTCTCTAAGTAATCTTCTCTATTTGTAAT